GGCAAGCCACTCCCATCCGGTCACATGGGCGGCAAGCCAATCCCACAAAGGAAGCCACACCCACAGAGTAGGTTCAAACAATTTTTGAAACCCACCACTGCTTCAGACCATCAACAAACTATTGATAATTCTTTCAGCTGCTTGCCAGAATCACTCTGGTTATTCTGTCAGGATGGTTCCCTAAGCAAAAAATGGCCGCAGGGAAAAAAAAAACCTGATCCATATTCCTACAACTCTAATGTCATTTAATAGTGCAATCCACACATTTCAACAAACCATGGGGTTTTATTTTGTAAACCATCCTGGGTGGCCTTTTACAGCTGTGCAATTTTTAAAATTAAACATATTTATGCTCACTCGTGCATGAGCACGCGCACACACATTTTATTGGCGGCCCAACTTGCCATTATTCTAGTGTGAAAAAAAATGTGGTACTAAAAATGCAAATATATCCGACTCCTCCAGGGTCTACAACCAAGCTTGATTTGTGGGTGCTACTCACAGGGTTTGAATGCAGCACGGTGAAGAATTCTGGGCTGATGAGGAATTTTACTGGGGGTGACTGGAGCAGCAGAGTAAGCCTGGATCTGGAGGTAGAATGAGGCAGCGCATTGTCCCTTCGGTAATCTAATACAAAGATGTAGTAAGAGTCATTGAGTCAGACAAGGACTTCGATGCCATCAATAAGTAAAAACTTAACTATTTTTATCTTTATATGTGACATGGAATACTTATTTTTTCCTTAGTATTAAATACCATTATAAAATGGAGTCTTAAACACTTTTTAAAACAGATTAAGTGAAATAAAAGAATAAAGAATACTGTTAGATCACTACTCTGGGTGAATAAGGGGGAAAAAATGACAATCACAGTAGCGCTATAATTCCTTTACTTTCCTTCCTCCAAATCTCTATTTTTAGCAATAGCAATAGCAATAGCAATAGCAGTTAGACTTATATACCGCTTCATAGGGCTTTCAGCCCTCTCTAAGCGGTTTACAGAGTCAGCANGAAGCGGTATATAAGTCTACTGCTATTGATCATAAGGCTACATTAACACAATCTTGTAATTGTGAAAGTAGAAACTTCCTGCCATCACTTTTAACTAATGACACCAAACTGGCTGTCAGAAGCCAACCATACTTCTCCATATTACTGCTTTGACCCATCTAGTTGTCTATTTGTCAAGCCATGCGCTTGTGATTTAACATTGTGATGGAATACCATATATTTTAATGAAGCTTTTGCTTAACAAATTGTAACTCTCAGAAAACTACACCAGAGAGCTGCTGTGCACCCAGCCGTGTCTATAAAAGGTTTACAATTCAGATGCAAGCTTTAGTGAACTGTGTGAATTATTTTAGCTGAAAGCTTGGGAGTTCTCGTTCTTGTCGTCAGCCCAATTAAGCTTGATATTTTAAACCATTCCAATCCTGTTCAGTTTTGTGCATTTCAAACATTCTGGCCTAACTGGTTTATGAACTTCTGCTTGGTATCTTTTCTATCTAAAATAAGGTAGCATGAGTGCAATCTCCCAAAGGCTAAAATCTTAATGAGATGAAGCCCAAATGAGACACATAATTTGAAAGCATAGTCATAATTTGAGAGCATGTTTGTCAGGTAGGGAAACAAATGGCTCCCAATAAATAGAGTTGCTGATGCAAAACACTGATTCTTTCACAGAAATGTAACAAGCTATACAGCATTTATTTATATCATATACTTAAGCAAAACAGTAAAGATGCTTATGGATTACACCAAATGAATGTAATCATATTATGCATACGGGCTTGAGACCAAGCAATAGCATTTTGTTATGCAATGAAATTCCTGTTTTGAAGCACTATTAGAGAAAGGAAAAAAATCAATGGAGCTTCAAAGCTCTGTTCTAATCTGAACCATTATACTGAAGCTGGGAACCAAGATGAATACTACCAGGGAGAGCATACGGGCCTAATTTTAAAATTTCCACTGGCTACCAGAGAAAGGGTGTAGTTTGGATATTTATGGTAGCTGGGAAAACAAACACGATATTTTGGTTTGGACAAACTACAAGTTTATCCAAGTTGGCTAACTGAAGCCCTGTTTCAAGTAAATTATAGGCACTAGAGTAATGTGCAGTGAAATTAAATTGATACTGAAAAGTATGTATTGTCAAGACCATGCTTTGTCCCGTCACAACATACAAAAGAGTTGGAAAAGAAAAACGGAGGTTCCTGAATGATAATCAATGCTGGAGAAAACTGAAAATAGCTCAAAACAAATAATTGCAATGCTAAATGAAGTAAAACCGGATTGATTTGAAGCAGCTTTAGACGTCATAGAGGTTATCCAATCCAACTATCAGTGCAATATTCGCTAGTGCATCAATGACAGATGATAACCATCCAGTCTCTGTTTCAAGACCTTTAACGAAAGAGAACCACATCATGTAGCAGACTTTTTTCTGGCTAAACATAGCCAGAACCTTCAACTGTTCTTCATAGGATTTAATTCCCAGTATCTCTGTAGCCTTCTTCTGCACTTGCTCAGGTAGTTACTATTGTTATTTTTGAACTGTGGTACACAGAACTGGACTTAGTACTCCAAAAGGAGTCTGACTAGGACAGAGGGGAGCAATAATTATTTTTCATGTCTTGGATTATATGCTCCTAACGCTTGCCAAGTAAACATTTGCTTTTTTAGCAACTGCATCACATAGCTGGCTCATGTTTAACTTGTGATAGGACAAAAACACCCTGATCCCTTTCCCATATGTTACTTGCAAGTCAGATCGCACAACCCATCCCATACTTGTGCTGTACAGTTCTCCTACTCACAGGCAAACTTATATATGTGTTCCTATTAAATTCAACCCTATTCATTTTGACCCACTGCTTCAGCCTTTTTAGATCTTTTTGAATCTTCTTCATCAAAATCATTAGCCAAACATCCCAGTTTTGTACTCTCTGCAGACTCCCTCAAACTCATCTATCTATATAATTGATAAAAAAGTTGAAAAGCAACTTTTGCAGATAATGATCAATGATGACAAAGCCATCATTGATGGAACTTTGCAACTTTTTTGCAACTTTAATAAGATTTGTATGCCGCCCACTCCCTTAGGACTCTGGGCGGCTCACAACAAAAGTAAAAACATAAAAATATTAAAAATACAATCATTTAAAAATAAGATATCATCCATTCAATCAAGGGGGGCTGGATATTAATCAACAGCCCCAGGCCTGCCGGAACAGCCAGGT